CCCAAGAGGTTCTGCTTGGGAGCCAACGGCCCCTTCTTCATCCAGCGCCTGTGGCTGCAGCAGACGTCCTGAATAGCACCTAATCAAGCCACTGGGCCCGATCACTTGAACCGAGGGTTTAGGGTTTAGGGTTTAGGGTTTAGGGTTCAGGGTTCAGGGTTTAGGGTCTGGCAGCAAGGAGTCCAGTTGCAAAAAGGTTCAGGGTTTAGGTTTAGGCGTCAGGAGCACTCCCACATGGATATCATCAGCTTTGCGACCCAAGCAGTTCATGTCCGAAGCATCGTTTTTGGAAATTCTGGCTGGCACCAGGATGACGTCTAGTCCCTGGCACTGGTCACGCTTGGGGTTTAGGGCTGCAAAGCACGATGAAACCGAAACCGTGGCTTCTCGGTCGGGCTGTCTAGAATGCTGCCGCGCCCTGCTACTCGCGACAACAAGCGGAAACACTCAGAGACATGTAGTCCGGATGTAGTCCCATCCAAAGCCCTTTCTGCCTTCCCGATACCCTGCGCCATACGGCCGACCCGGAATCCTACAATCTGACAAGACCCAAGACTTGGAATGTTCCCCTTATCCTAACAGTCCTTAGTAGGGATTATAGTACCTAAACCCTAAACCCTAAACCCTAAACCCTAAACCCCCAACCCCCAACCCCCTAAACCCTCTAATCCCCATTAAGGACTGTTAGGAAGGGGGGGCACATCTCAACCCAAAGGCCTTTCTCAATGTTTGTATCTCTTTGTTGCGACCACCTGTTCGAAGCTGCACAGGTTCTATCCCAACGGAGATGCCCAGTCCCAAGCAGGCGACCAAAGGGCATGGGGGGTGGGACTGTGACGCATAGATTTGGGGTCGAAGGGCAAGTGCTTGAGCTTTTCCCAGAAACATCGACAACAGTAGTGACACCTATGTATGTTTGTGGAGCGCTTCAAAAACCTCGTGGCGCTCACGCCGCACAACTTGTTTGCGACGTCGGCTCGCCCGGTCGATCTTCTAAACACGACTCGGATTCTTGGGTGCTGTCTAGGGCCCTGGGACATCAGAAGTTCAGGAGGCATCAGGTTTGTGTGAGGAGTTCGTGGCTCCCGCTTCGGTCCCGCTGCGTCCACACCACTCTCGCTGGGGGGCGATGCGCATGTTGGCTCCGAATCGCGTTCCCGCCTGCGGCGCACATTGTCGCTCCAACTGCTGCAGGCTCCAACCTCGAAACCTGTCGTCTGGCAGATTCGTGGTCTTCGACTTAACCGCTGTTTTTGGGATCTGCGCCGGCATACTTTGCTTCTGCTTGTTTTGGACATGCAGCATGCCAGGGAAATGTGGCCTCTTCCTGTGGGGCCCCGACTTCGTTTACGTGAAGGCACGCTGGGCGCTGCTGCTTGGCTCCTTCTTAGTCTTAGCCACAGGCACACCCGTGACCCTGAAACCCTAACCTCTTTAGCCCTATTGGCCTACTGACGTGATACTCGCATCCCGAGCATCGAAATCTTCCGTCTTCAAGCCAATACTTACTTGTTTTCAAGTCTTCACAACTCCACTACATCCACTTCAATCAGATGCCGTGGACCTTTCTTGCCAGAGTCCAGACACGATAGATGACTCTCTTTGCAAGGAAAGCGTTTGAAATCTTGGGGCATGGCCTTTCCCTGATCTCTAGTGCGCGTAGGGCGGGCACGGAACGTAAACTAACTTCTAAATACCACGCCGCTGAGCCAAAGGTCGCAGAAGGTCAACCATTCTGAAGGCCCTATAATTGCCAGGATGGGCTATTAGGCCCTATAACCCCCATAAACAGCCCTATAAAGGCCCTTATTTAAGGGTTATAGGGTCTAATAGCCCGTCCTTGTAAGCCCGCCAGCAAGCCCAAGTCCCGAAAATCCCATGCCTTAGAAAATCCCCTAATAATGGGGCCCCTTATTAACACCCCCAAATGATTCCGTTCACACAGTTCATTAAGCCCAGCCACACCAGCCTCAGAGCCCTCGGTGCAAGGAACTCGGCCGAGCGCTTCATCGACTTCGGGCCTTCCGGCCCTCTTTGAAGAAGGGTAGGGTTTAGGGTTTAGGGTTTAGGGTTTAGGGTTTAGGGTTTAGGGTTTAGGGTTTAGGGTTTAGGGTTTAGGGTTTAGGGTTTAGGGTTTAGGGTTTAGGGTTTAGGGTTTAGGGTTTAGGGTTTAGGGTTTAGCTGTTGGACTTGGGACGAAGTGGTCTAGATGAGTGCTTGGGTTTGTGGAGCTAGGGCTTCGCCTCCTACTTCTGGCCAAGCATGACACAGCGCAGCTGCTAAGAATTGCTTGCTTTTTGCGTGAGAGTGTCCGAGCCAAAAACCACGGGAAGGTGCCACCTGGTGCCTAATCTAAACCGCCCCAAAAGATCTCACTGACTGGCAAGGCCGGTAAAGACAGGCTGGGGGAGCTCTGCGCCTCGGCGCTGCACAGAGGGCTTACGATAATAAGGGGCCCTAGCATCGACCCCAAAATAGTAGGATCCCGTTATCATAAGGACCCTAACAAGGTACCCCTAATATAGTTCATCGGGTCTAGGTTCCAGAGTTTCATGTTTGATGCCTTAGCTAAATTGTAGTGTTGCGAGCGTGCGATTCGTCGAGAATATATATTTATCTAAGCAGACACACACACACACACACACGCGCACACGCACACGCACACGCACACGCACACGCACACGCACACGCACACACACACATACACACACACACACACACATATCTATATATGTATATACATAGATATGTATGGTACCATATATATCCACATATATATATATAGAACGCGTATATACCCATGCACGTACACATACATGTTGGCCACGACAGGTTCGCTTCTTCTAGCCATTGAACCGTTGCAGTGCTACCGCAGAATGCTCACCTCGTGTTCATAAGTCATAAACCCTTGAAGTACCCAGGAGGATGTCGCTAAGTTTATGACATCGTGTACATGGAAGTAACTCCTGTTTATAGTACCCTAAGCCAAAACTCTCTGCAAACGCTGTGGCGGCTAGGAGAAGTGTAGGTGCTCAGAGGCACAGGCAGGGTGGCAAATTTCCCAGTTGGCAGGACATGTTCAACACTCCAGTTGGCTGCTCGTCGATCAAGATTTCTGTGGAGCCACTTGGATCTTAATTGCTCTGCTTTGAGCAACTTGCTGTATCTGAAAATGCCGCAGTGGTTGCAAGTCGCAAAAGAGGTTCCATCATGTGGGGGTCTGCTCTGCAACTTTTGGCCCTTGAACCCTGTACCACCCCTCCTTCCATTCCCAACCCACTGTCACAGCTGGGATAAAGCAAGCAGACAACATGCCTGAATCAGGCTGCTGGAGGTCGTGCGGCACATGAAAACATCGATTCTCTGACCGGCGGGCGAGCGATCTCTCAGGCTCCTTACGGGCCAGGCAGCCCAGGCTGTTATTCTCAGAATGCTTGAAGCTTAAGCCCTGAAGTCGCCACGGTCTATGTCCTAAAGCCCAACTTCCGGAACCTGGAACTCCCAAAGCTCACTCCTAGATCGCGGGGTGCCGTTTTCGCATGGCCCAGAGCAGGCTGAGCAGGATGGGTCAAGTTTCAGAGCTCGTGGCCGAGGGTTGCAACTCTCTCGCAGGGACCTTCAAGGTACCACCTCCACCACTACACTCCAGGGCGACAAGAGGTATGGCGATAGCGAGGGCGTGTTTGACGAAGAGGTTCAGAGAGGGTTGCATCAAAGATGGCGAATGCCATGAGTGAACCCAAACGCATGTCTTGCGGGTTCTGTCTTATGCAGCCTTTGTGAGCCATCAATATCCATCAATGGCTCGTTGTCAACTTGCCGGGCAACCGTTCCGGATCGTTTGGGCTCCCACATGCTACTTTGCCAATCTCAGCCACCATCGACGATGCTGCTCTTCACAGAAAATCGGCGCGAGAGGTGTGCACCTGGAAGACCAAGGCGTTAGTCAACACGCCACTTTCTTTCCCAGTTGGTTGGAAGTAGACTTGTGTTTGGCAAGTCAGAAGCTTAGTTGCTGAAGTTGCGCCGGATTCAGGTCACTGCTCTGTCCGTCGCTGTAGACTAGCTTGAAGCCCCAAGCTCTCAAGCCCTTTTGTGCGCAATTCAGATCTCGGCCCAGCTCCTTAAGGTCTCAACCGGCTCCGGGCGGGTCGCCTGCGACAACGGCGCCTCTGCGCAAAGCAAGCTATGGGGTTGTCAGTCGTATGTACTTTGCCGAACTCCTTGCCGCTTGAAAAGATATGGGAATTGATTTCCAGCCCAAATATCCGAGCAGGGTGCTGCCGCGGTGATGTCCAACCCCGCGGCTCCTCGATACCAAAAAACCTAGGCCCACAGACCCTGCACTTGGAGGTTCATGGTACTTGTTAACCAATTATACCTGTACTGTATTTTTGGCCTATTTACAAGCCCCCGAAGTGCCCTAATATGGTTATAAGTACAGTTATAAGTACAATTCTAATTTGTTAATAAGTACCATGAACCTCCAAGCAGCCTCCCGCACGTTGCCAAGGGCCGTGGCAACGGCGATCCCCACGCCACGGCCCGAGGCAAAACACCTTCGGCTTCAGGGTGTCGGTTGAAAGGGCGGTGTTTCCGGATGTTTCGAGCGTAAGGGTTTTGCTGAGGGTGCCAGGGTGCTGGTGTTTTAAGGACTGAAGCATCCTGACTCTCCCCATTTGCTCCTGAGTTGGTGCTGCGGTCTGGTGCTTGACGGGGTCAATTGACGTGCTCATATGTGTTCACCGCTCCTCGTGTGATCTGGCGTGTGGGCTCGCACTTTGACTCGTCTGCCACATGCTTGTGGCTCCCAAGTGCTCGACGTGCACTAAATCCTAAACCCTAAACCCCAACCCCCAACCCCCAAATCCAAAACCCTAAACCCTAAACCCTAAACCCTAAACCCTAAACCCCCATGAGACCGTGTGTGTGCCTCGTCTGGCTTGTCCGAGTGTGAGCGATTAAACCCAAACCCTAAGCCGCGAAGTCCACACCCGGACATGCCACAGCTTGCAGAAGGCAGCGCGTCACAAGCAGTTTTCCACGCAGCTGCGGCGGCCCTGGTGCAGGCTCGCACCATCATGAAATACAAGACTGGGCTTTGAGGTTTTGGCGTTAGGGTCTCTGTGCTTCGGGGTGGCATCTTCATTCCACATCTCTCAGTCCCTTAGTATAAATCCTGGCTCTTGGACACATCCTGCAGACGTTCCAGCTTGGACTTCAGTCAGCTTGCGTCGCAAACGCGCTTCAGTGCCCTGACCAGAACTGCCTAGGACCTGGCTCAGGTTTTGATCCAGAGACAGGCAATGACAACGCGTCATCGGCAGGTTAGGACTGGGAGGCCGTGCCGACCGGACTGAGCGGCTACGCGACTCTGCCGTAAGCTTTGACCTGCTCAACCTGCGCAGAATTCTCGGTGAGGTTCCTCTCATACACTATATGACCTCTGGCTCCAGGGCCCTTCAGTTACGAAGCGGTCCGTTGGTGCATAGGGCCACATGCCACAACGCGGCCAAGCTTCAGTGAACACAGGCTGCCCCCTAAACCCTAAACCCTAAACCCCAAACCCCAAACCCCAAACCCTAAACCCTAAACCCTAAACCCTAAACCCCTATCAATCCTCGGCCGTGAAGAGAAGCTGGCACAGGTTCCGGGGGCAACGCCGGACATGCAAGGACGAGCATCCCGTTTGTCCATTCGCACATGGGGCATTTTGAGAGACCTTATACTTCCTTAGCCGACAGTTCATTTTTTTCTGGGCTTCCTTATTTAGTAGGACTACGTAATAAAGTTTAACCTTCGTTCGTTTTGCTTCTTGGAGAAGGAAGTATAACCCTAAACCCTAAAAATCCCTGAACCCTGAACCCTGAACCCTAAACCCTAAACCCTAAACCCACATAAGGGCCTTTTTTCAGCCTTGTCCGACGCGAGGCCCGGCAGGGGCTCGCCGCCGCGCTGCGCAGCTGGCGCCGGAGCACAGCCGAGCTGGCAGCCGTGTGAGAAGAGAAAAGGCAACAAGCTCTCTTGAATCTCCTTAGTCAAGCCCCAAACCCTAAAACCCCTAAGCCCTAAACCTCGACCCCCAAGATCTTAAAAAACAACTTAAAATCATAATTAAAACAAAATCTTAAAACAAAAACACAACTTAAAATCCAGCAGCTGAGGGCGGGATGGACTGAGGGATTCAGCTCAAGGCTTTGGAGGTTAGGGTTTAGGGTTTAGGGTTTAGGGTTTAGGGTTTAGGGTTTAGGGTTTAGGGTTTAGGGTTTAGGGTTTAGGGTTTAGGGTTTAGGGTTTAGGGTTTAGGGTTTAGGGCTCGGGGGTTTCTCAGGCGGCTCTTGCCATGGAAGCTCCCCAGGGGGTGATGGGGCCGAAGAAGCTGTTTAGATGCTGGGCTTGGTTTTTGAATCAGTGCCTTGGATTACACACACACACATATATATATATGTATATATATATATATATAAATACACATCTATCTATTTCTGTAGATGTTCTACGAGGAATAAATTCCCAATTCTGGTGATTTCTTTCTCTTGCTGTTCTTAACAAGTTACAATTTTCTAAGCAGGCCCCAGTCGGTTCCCAGGCCAATCCTATGCCGACTTGGTGCACTTCACGTGGGGATGTATTTCTGAATGCAGTATATATGTATACATATGTACTGTATACACACATATGCATTATATGTTGTATATTATAGATTGCTAGCTATACAAATATAAATACGCATATGTACGTACGTACGTACGTACGTATGTATGTATGTTGAAAATATGCATATTTGTATATAGACGCTGGCATTGGTCAGCCACAAGACCATAAGAAGGTTCATCCTTTTTCGGCAAGTTCTCGCTTGCAACGGTGCATCCGCACCTAGGATTTGGAGTTTATGGTTTACGGTTGAGGGTTTAGGGTTCAAGGTTTAGGGTTTAGGGTTGAGGGAGTTTTCGCCGCGTTCAACGGGCTTGCATGCCGGTGCTTGATTGGGAGATGTCTGGGCCGGAGGAGGGAGCGATTGGCCTGCAAGTACAGCCAGGTGGATGCAGCCTCCCTCAGGACGGCAGCAGAGTACGGCACTGGACCCCAGACTTGTCCGTTGTGGTTAAGGCAGTCAAGGGGTCGGGGCTCCCGGCCTCGAGGTGCAATGCCTTGCGTTGGGAGGTTGTTGGGTAGGTTCCTCTTCATCGTGCTTCTTTGTGGATGATGGCTAGATGGGGCGGGGCAGTCGCACATCGCAGGGTTGCTGAATCAGCTGGACCTGTGATTTTTGACGCCGGCCTTAACCTTTGACTTCTGGAAATCCGCGGGTTTAGGGTTTAGGGTTTAGGGTTTAGGGTTTAGGGTTCAGGGTCTCAGGCCTCGACAGAGATGCCCCCATGAAGCTGCTCCACGCTGCACGGGTCCTCGGAGATCCGGGAGTTGAATGCTGGAGTGTCAGAAGGGTTCTGGATGCTTCTGGGACTGTGCTCGCCACCTAACGTTCCAGACACATTACGCTGAACCCTACATCCAGGAAGCAGAATCTGTGCCAAGCTGAAATCCTGCCCACGCGCACTTCCCAAGCTTCATGCCGTCTGCTGGTCGTCTAGCCGCCTCCCATACGCCACCCCTAAACCCTAAACCCTAAGACCTAAAACCCTAAACCCTCCGAACTTATCCGCTTTTTTCATCGACTGCCCAGGCCGCCGAGGCCGACGCTGCCGAGGCGGCGAAGGCACCGTGGCATTGCCATTGGGGTACCGTTGGGGGGGGGGGGGGGGGGTTAGGGTTTGGGGTTTAGGGTTTAGGGTGTAGGGGCACAAACATGAGGGTGTATTTGGGCACGTTGGCAGCATTTTGTGGCAGCATGGCTTATGAACCAAGGGGCTTAGACTAGAGATTTGGAAGTCTGTCGCAATCTACGGGTTAGCACGTAGGGCTGGCGGGTCAGCGGCCTCCATGCTTTGAGCAAGACACAGAGTGACGCGCACAGCATGTTTCGAGGCGCTCGAGATGTGTCAGGGTGCTGAACACAAGCTGTGCTTTTTTGGTTAGGTGTGTCGTGACCCTCACGCCTACATTGCCAGATACTTGCCCTAGGTTGCGGCAGGAACCAATGTGACCGAGGCTTAGGAGTGGGGGTTCAAGGCGGTACAGAGAAGCACTACGAGACGCCCTCAAGCAGACCTTGATTTCTGCAGGTCCTGGTGTTGCTCGGGGATTCAACGGACGGCGAGCAGCTGGCGACTGAGCGCCCTTGCAATAGGGCGGGGGGCTTCTGTAATATGCAGGGCTTGGACAGGCCGCGGTTGCCCATGGTATACACAAGGAGGAGTTCCGAACCCCCCCTCTGCCAGCACAAGTGGTCTCCCACCAAATCAACCCTAAAGCATAGAGCCTTTGCTCACTCGCCTGGCTTGACAGCCCTAAACCCTACACCCTACACCCTAAACCCTAAACCCTACCCCCCCCCCAAAAGCTTCGTGAGTTCTGGAAGTGCCGGGGATGCGGTGGACGTGCTCGACGCCCATGGCCGGTGTCCTTGTGCCGGTGGGCAACCTCCGAGGTTTGTTAGTCTGTTCCCAGATCTTCCAAAACCCCTTTATTAAGTTATACACCCTAATTCCTAATCAGGATCCTCAGTAAAAATTAGGGTATATTCCCTAATTAAGGGTTTTTGGAAGATCTGGGTTGTTTGCCGTTCAGGACGTGCAGGGTATTTTTCGGGTTCTGGATGCATAGGGCGGCCTCAGCCGCCCAAGAGTAGGGTTAGGATTCACGGTGGCTTTGGGTTGTTGGGCTTGTCGTCGGAGTTTCATGATTCTGGGCGCGTGAAAGTCTGTGAAGGCCTCCTGTGCAATCTGCCTTGGACTGAAATTCAAGGCTTCCAACAAGTAAGCGCCGGTGCCCAGCGATGGCCCATGCGCCGATGCGAACACCTGCCTGTGCACTGTGACCTGTCGCTGATGGATCAAGCACGGGCCCAATGGACCAATGAAGGGCCTGCATATCAACTGATGAAACGGTTTCCCCAACCCCGACCCCGCTCCGCGTGTTTCAAGGGAACTGTTCAGAATGTGCGATAAAGCCTGGAGCCCCAAGTTGATGGAGCTTATACTTAAACCCCATGGCTTGAGGCAAGCTCCGCAGGAACGACCGCCCTTGCCATCTTTTTGCGAGCTGCAGTCTAAAAGTGCTACCCCAAGCATCCTGCCAGTTAAGACCTAAGACAAGTCGTGCGATGCAGCCGGCGTGCGAAACGCTGCATGATGCCTATGATCAGCTAGCTGCCTCCACGCCAGATGCTGTCGCAGTGGTTGGCCCTTTGCCAGTTAAGCAAAGGAAGTCGTGCTTCGGAGCTGATCATGTATGGCAACGTCAGCTGCGTAGGTCAGCATGTGCGAGCCACAATCCGGATTCGTGTGCAAAGCAGGCCACCTTGTGCAGACCATAGGAGGCCCATTTGTTATCTTCATGCCTTTGCTTGCATAATTCCACAAACCCTCATCTGAGGTTGGGGTCGGCGCCGGTTCCAGCTGACCTACGGCGAGGCGCTTGCGTGCCACAAGACTCTGAGAGTGCTGCGTCATTCTCCCTCTCTCCCTCCCTCTCCATAACTAATCATTGCCAACCCTAAACCCTAAACCCTAAACCCTAAACCCTAAACCCTAAACCCTAAACCCTAAACCCTAAACCCTAAACCCTAAACCTGTGGCAAGTCCTGCGGCGGAGTTTGGCCCCTGCTGTGTAGGGCTCCTCCGCGACATCAGTATTTCCACAATGGGGCGCGACAAACATAAATACGTGTGCATTGACGTGTTCATGTGTACATGGGTATGTCTTAGTAATATGTATATGTAAACGTATATGTATAAGTATGTATTTGTGTATGCATATACGTATGCATAAACGTAAATACATTTGTATGTATGCATGTATGTATGTATGTATGTACGTACGTATGTATGTGTATGCATACGTGTAGACATGTACATGTGTATATGTGTAGAGATGTATATGTGTATGTGTGTATATGCTTTGATGCTATATACATATGTATATATATACATATATATATACATGTCTGTATATGTACATACATACAAAGCTACACGTTTGAATCTGGCATGTGCAAAACTTTCAGCCATGTAGATGTGGTTGATCTTCTGTGCATGCACACGGAGTCGTGCAAAGAAGCTACCGCAACCCACAAGCGTGCTTTGCGTGTTGGTGGTGGTGCTTGTCGGTCTATGGCGGGGACAAAGGAGTGGAGCACAGGAGAGAGCAAGGGGTGGTAGGGAGGGGACGCAGTGCTTTTGCCGCAGGACCCAGAACATTGCAGTGTCAAGATCACGAGATGCACGAGAACCACGAGTTATAGAGCTAGCCGGGCTTTGTACTTGGGGGCAATGACGTCCACATCATTCAAGGTTGGGGTTTTGTACTTGGGGGAAATGAATTCCACACCATCCAAGGCTCGGTTTTGTACAATAGATTCTTGGGGGGTCTGCTTTGGCCCAAGAGGTCTCGGCAAAGTCGAAAGCACTGGCTTCCGCGCTTTCCAAGATTCGATGCAGAGAAGCGACACAGTGGCATCATGAGCCAAAAGTGTTTGAGTCCTTCTGCCCAAGCCTAGCACATGTGGTCAAGGGATTGCCTTTCCAATGTCTTGCATATGAAGTTGTGTTCGGAGTCTATGCAGTCACAATGCTCCTGGTTAGTTGTCTTGGTTTCTGGATTTTCTGGCTGGTTCTGAGTAGGGTGCCCTATATAAAGGGTATATAGGGCCCTAGTTCCCTCATTCCCTTCTAAGAACCAGAAGATTTCTGGGGTATTTGCATGTCTGATCCCAAGGAGGGCGCAGCCACAGCCTCGGTGGACTGGACCGCGGCTCGCTCAAATTCCCAAAGTGGTTTTAGGGTTTAGGGGTTTAGGGGTTTAGGGGTCTAGGGGTTTAGGGGTTTAGGGGTTTAGGGGTTTAGGGTTTAGGTTTTAGGGTTTAGGGTTTAGGGGTTCGGGGTTTAGGGTTTGGGGGTTGGCCAGGCTATCGCTCTCGCAAGTCGTCAGCCGGACACAGTTTCTGCACAATGTCACGGCAGGTGGACTGCATGGTACATGGTGATATACAGCAGCCCGTCACTTCGTCGCCAAGGTGCCAAACAGCCCAGAGGCTGCCCAAGGACGTCCTAAACCCAAAGTCAAGGTCTCCAGGCTAAGGTGCCAAAACTCCGAGATCACAATGGTTTCTTAGGAGGAACCAGGAATCGGACGGTTTACGCTGAACGACCCCCCAGCTGAAGGCTGTGTAGTTCCAACGCAGATGGAGCTTAGAACCCCAAACCCTAAAACCTTGGGCTTTGGGCACTTGTTGACGAAGCTGCGAGGTAGTTGCCATCCACCATTCGCGGGAGGCCCTGTGGGGGCACGCTGCCCTAAACCCTGAACCCTAAACCCTAAACCCTGAACCCTGAACCCTGAACCCTAAACCCTAAACCCTAAACCCTGAACCCTGAACCCTGAACCCTAAACCCTAAACCCTAAACCCTAAACTGTGGGGCACGCTGCCGGGGGCATCCCGGGGCATCCCGACGAGTCTAGGAGCCCGAGTAGGCCCCTACTTCCCCTGTTTTAAAAAGCTGATAAATGCTCCGTTTTTGAAGCCACTTTGAACCAATAAAGGGCACCCTCGGTTCAGGGTTTAGGGTCGAAGGTTTAGGGGTCCGAGCGCAAGAGGGGGGGGGGTTTAGGGGGTGTTGGGTTCAGTGTTTAGGGTTGGCTTCGGATTGGGAGGTTCCTGAGAGGACAATTCTAAGCCGTTCCCCCCTATATTCTTGGGTTTAGGCTTTAGGGTTTAGGGTTTAGGGTTTAGGGAGCCCTAAACCCTAATCAATCATTAAAGGCCTGCGAAAATCCGATGCATGATCCTTTTTCGAAGAATCACTCCACAGAAGCTTGCATAGCCCGTGTCAAACTAGATGCCTTCTCCAGTGCAACTAATCCAAGCTCAATCTGTGCTTGCCCACACGCAACAAGGGGGTGTGAGACCAAGCAGGCAGAAGTCGTTAAAACACACTTTAACGAATCTGCTGATGACTTCGTTAGCGCAAGGAGTCGGAGTCTAACCCCAAAGGTCAGTAAATAGCAGCGCCCACCAGGATCCAGATTTCCTCCCTACGCTGTTGGCAGCGAGTCGCTGTGGGCAGCGCTTCGCCCCGTAGCAGCAGCTACTGATGTTCTGCAAAACCGGAAAGCCAACTTCAGGGAGGGTTTGGGAGTTTGGGGTTGCTGGCGTAGCTCAACAAGAGGAGCGGGACTTCCGAATGAATTGAGGCATCTGCAGAATATCAGCGATTATTGCACGGGTTTCGGTTTACAAGCTTCCAAGCCTTCTCTTCGGAAGGTTCGAAGATGCCTACTATTTGCTTAAGAACCCTCCAAAGAGTTAAAACACATCCTTTTCCTGATAAGGGGAATCTAGGGATTCGGTTCTGAAGCCGATAGTAGATGATGAGGGTGAGTTGTGAAGGCCCCGCTACGGCCTCAAAAGGCCCCACGTGGGCATGTCTCACTGCAAGGGGAAAGTGGTTTCTCGGACACGGAGGGTGGCTGAACTTCAGCGTGGCTACGCCTGGCTCCACTGTCTCTTTAGTTGCGTTTCTTCCGTTCATTCATATTTGTTTTGGCATTCCTAGCTAATTGCACGGTTCAGCAGCCTGAGATCTTCTGAGTCTAGGCAGGTACTCGGTCGCCTTTAATTGGATACTGGCTTGCTCACATTCTGGGGTCCGCTTGGCTTCAAAGCCCCAGAAACATCTACGAGACCTGGAAGCAGAAACTTACTCCTGGTTAGAACCAGGAGGGAATGGGGAATGAGGTACCCTATATCCCCCTATATACACCCTTTCAGGGATTTTATAGGGTACCTTTTTCCCCAAGCCCCCTACTAACCAACAGTAAGGAAAGGCTGTTCTGAGTAAAAATGCGGCCGTGGCCGAGGTTTTGCTCAGCCGGGATCTCACGGACGAGAAGTGCCTAAGCTGCAGTGAGCTTGAGTCGGGGTCCCTCGAAGAGCCTTTCTAGGGGCCCACAGAAACCAAATAGGGGTTTAGGGGTTTAGGGTTTAGGGGTTTAGGGGTTGAGGGGTTTAGGGGTTTAGGGGGTTTAGGGGTTTAGGGGTTTAGGGGTTTAGGGTTTTAGGGGTTGGTTTAGGGTTTAGTTTAGGGGTTTAGGGGTTTAGGGGTTTAGGGGTTTAGGGGTTTAGGGGTTTAGGGGTTTAGGGTTTTAGGGTTTTAGGGGTTTAGGGGTTTAGGGGTTTAGGGGTTTAGGGGTTTAGGGGTTTAGGGGTTTAGGGGTTTAGGGGTTACGGTTGATCAGGGAGGCACGCCTCGCGTTGAAGCCGCTCAAGCAGCAGACATTAGCAACGCGGGCCTCCCACCTGTGAGCCCTGGTCCCAACACATTGCTCGTTCGCCTTTACAGCCCAAGGCTGCAACGATCTCGGCTTCTTGGCGTCGGGAAGAGAGATGCCGTTCCCTAAAACCCTAAACCCGAAGCCCTATATCCCCCCTATATACACCCTTTAAGGGATTATATAGGGTACCTTATTCCCCCAGCCCCTATTCAGGCTGGTTCAGGATGGTTTCGGCGCAGGGCAGTTCGGTTGCTCAGGAGGTCATGCGCTGCGGTGCCTCTCTACAGTGGCGTATGCCGGTTCACATTGGCCTTCGCATATCATGGCGCCCGACAGAGCAGACAAGGAATGAGCAAATGCCCCCCCCCCCCCTATCCTATAGAGTCCTAGAGTCATGAGTTGTGATTTTCTTGGGCAAGAACTAAAACCCAAAGGAATGACTTCGTGCTGCACTCACTGCGGCCCTGGCTGGTCATCGGTGGAGATGGCAATAGCGAGGCTCAGAGCCAAAAATCACAGAAAGTTGGTTGGAAAGGTTGTTTTTTTTCCTCCATCTTTGGAGCCTTTTGCATGGCTTACGGCATTTTAGCCGGTGTGCGTCTTTCTGCAACACGGGGCCATACTGTAGGGTTTGGAACAGGGTCATTCTTCTTGCAACACGCCTCCGTGCGACAAGCCTCCGCGAAAAGCCCCTTCTTGCAAACATCCTGCGACATGGAGAGCCTGCGACAAGCCACTCCTATGTAGACCCACAGCGATTTGCCGATCCCTTTTGTGAGCAAGACAGACCTGGTTAAGCAATAGTGTGAATCCTTAAGCCTCAACCTCTTAGTCCTCAAACTCTGAACGCTCAAGTCTCGAACAAAACGTCCTCCAGACACGTCCAGACTGGTTTCAGGCGCACCGCTCTGTTCCCCGATTGGCCTGGCTCCCGGTGCACATGCAGGGTTGGGAAGTTCCACAGATGAAAAGTCCTTACAGTTCAGGGCTTTTGGTCGTGTGAAGCTTAGGGCAGCTTAGCGAATTATAAGTGTGCTCAGTGAGGCAAAAGCTTCTGGGTAGTGCTGTGTTCCTTTCAAATTGAAATTCTTTGAGTGTGCGTGCTGCTTGTCACACTTGAACACTGGTAGTACTTTGGAAGGGAGGGAAGGGGGTGGAGGGTTTGAGCCATCAGACTTCGCGTTGGCTTCCCACACGTGCTGGGGGAGTTCTTGGGCTTTCTAAGGCTCAGCTAAAATGTCGGGAGACCTGGTTTAGGTTCTTTATAAGCCCCTTTAAGCCAAGAAGGGCACCCTTTTTATTCCTAGGTTCCTGTTGGGTCTAGAAAGGGAACCCAAAGCCCAAAGCCCCAAGCCCTAAACCCTAAACCCTAAACCCCAAACCCTAAACCCTAAACCCTAAACCCCTAAACCTAAACTCAAAGAGAACCGGGCTTTCCGCCTGCCCTTTGCAGGAGGAGCCTCGGGGCTCCCTGCTGAATGGCGATGGAGCCTTGGCAGCACGCAGCCGTGCGGACTGAGCCCCTAAACCCTAAACCCTTAGCCTAAACCCTAAACCCTAAAATCCCTATAAACCCTATAAACCCTATAAACCCTATAAACCCTATAAACCCTATAAACCCTAAAAAACCCTATAACCCTATAAACCCTATAAACCCTATAAACCCTATAAACCCTATAAACCCTATAAACCCTATAAACCCTATAAACCCTAAACACCCTATAAACCCTATAAACCCTATAAACCCTATAAACCCTATAAACCCTATAAACCCTAAACCCTAAACCCTAAACCCTTTGCATTCGGTACCTAGTTCCCCAGTTGAGCTTTAAGTGCATCGGGCTCATGTTTCGTCTCGCGCTCGGGTTGCCGCTCTTCAGAGCTAGCGCTGCAGAAACCCTAAACCCTAAATCCTAACCCGAAACCCAAAATCCAAAACCACGCGGCCCAAACAAAGCCGCACCGTGTTGCCCCCTTCAGACCACCACGTGCCGCCCGTGCCTTCTGATGGGATTTGCTTCATCTTCACTGGCGGCACAGTACGGACGAAGATCGTCGAGGTCACGCACAGGACTTTCGTGAAACTCAGAAGGTCTTAGGGATGTCTTAGGGATGTCTAAAGGGTCGAGACGGAGGGCTCGTGATGTGTTCGACTGCGCTGTTCCACTGTGCTTTGTGGATGTAGGCCTGTGCTTCCCCACTGGCTAGGATGCAACCTAGTCACATCAACTCCCAACCCCACAAGTCTGAATTCTAAGGCTCATGAGGCGCCAAACGCAAGAAAAACCGCTTCGTTCCTCACATTTCTCCCGGAAATTCCCAACATTTAGCCTTTGCGACTGTGCCCACCGAACCCACTCAGGGCCTGAGGCTCAAAACCCCCAAAACAGCTTGACGGCCCTGTGATTGCAGGATGTTTCTGCATGAGAAGTCGAGCTATTGGGCAACCGGGTAGCAAAAAGCCTTCTTTCTGCAGGGGTTTCTGGCAGATTTGAGGTCATCGTCGGAGGACCCCACCACCCACGACTGTAACACTAAACACCGGGGGTAGCTAGAGGACCCTACGACTGTAACACCAAACGCCGGGGTAGGCAGACGACCCCACGACAGTATCACAAAACACCCCCCCAGAAACTCCAATACCCCTGAATTAAGGAATACTCCTTAGACCATATAAGAAGCCCTATTATAATACAAGGAATATTCCTTAAACCATATAAGGAGCCCTATCATAATTTTGAGAATGTTCCTTAATTGGTGTCCCTGGGCCGACGACCTGCCCCTCGTGGCTGCTCTCAAGCTGCGGCTTGGGTTTAGGGTTTAGGGTTTAGGGTTTAGGGTTTAGGGTTTAGGGTTTAGGGTTTAGGGCTTAGGGTTTAGGGTTTAGGGTTTAGGGTTTAGGGTTTAGGGTTTAGGGTTTTCCGAGGAGCTTTGGACTCCGCGGCGTCGGCCTGTGGTGCTTTGGTCGACTCGTTGAAGGGATCCGATGTCCCTGAAGGGTGTGGAAGGTTCAGAGAGTCTGGAGAGAGTCGTTGGGGCTGCGAAGGGTAGGAGTTTCGGGATGTCAGGGTTGAGCCTGTTTTTTGTTTTTAATTGTTTGGTTGTCTGACTTTCGGTGAAAGGAGTTGGGGCATGAGGCTGTAGGGTAGAGGCAAAAAGAGGCCGGCAGTTGCAAAGAGTCCTGTGTTGCAAGTGCTTCTTGCTCCTTGTGCCGAGGAATGCTTGAAGTGCTTGAATGCAGGTTTGAATTCGGTGGGCGCCCTGAAGTTCCAAGGTTCTGGCCCATACGAGCGTCTACTGGGCCGCGTCAGCGCTTGGCTTCTTGCAGCAGTTTGCCAGGGCATACCATTGCAACTGGTCGAGCGGGTTGTGCATTTTGCTTTAGCTGCAAGTACAAGCGCTGCGCTGCAACATCAGAGCTCATCATGCGGCTTGCACGAACGCCAATATCTGTTTGTTCAACATGTGTGTTCGCCGTTTCTGATTGAACTCTGCGCTCCTGAACAACGTTCAAACCAAACACCAGGACAGCTGAGCATTGCCCTGGCGTACGGCGGAACTGCTGCTGCTTGCCAGCATTCAGTTTGCAGATCCCACAGTTGGCTGAGATGCCCAACACTGGCTCTCACAATCTTGAGCACCAGTGTCTTAAGATGTGTTGCGGAATCATTCGTACTGGAGTTGGCAGACGTCTCTGCAGTTTGCGCGTAGGCTACCCAGGAGCTTGAGGCGAAAGCGGGGCACTCCGAGGGGTTCCCACACCTGCCAAGTCAAGGTTTTGACCGAGATGACCGAGGTGGCCAAGCTGCAGCAGTGCATTGCTGAGGCGAGGTGGCCACAGCGTGGACTGAACTGGACTGAAGTGGACTAAACCCTACCTACAGAAAGTCTAGAAAATGTCTCTTCGCAGCCGAACTGGGATGTGTGCCAAGAGTTGTTGCTGAGGTAACAGTCAGCTGGCAGGCAGCGCTACAAACCAAAAGCAGCAGAGTCCAGCAATCTGCATGATAAGCGTACCGATCAGTCTAGTCATCCTAGTCGAGTTACCTCGAACTGATATGAATTACTTTGCCTGTTGCTGGTCAGGAGCAGATCACTGTGCTGGGTGTGGTTCCTGAGCATTTGGACCGGCGAGCTTTCGGTTTGTCGGGGCATGGCAGTGGGATGTATGGAAGTTCCACCTTGGGGTTTCAGGCCTTACAACCCGTGCAGGCCTGCTGCTGGTGCTTCTTGGAAGCGTTCCACTAGTCAAGTCAACATGACAGAGCACGGCAAGGTGTAGCAGTGTAGGGCCCAGAGTTTCGGTAGTAGAAGTGCTGCTGGTTTCCTGCACGAGGACTTGCTGGCACGCAAACCTGCAGAGGTGGGTCAAGGGCGTGTAAAGCGAGTCACGAAGCGTGTGAAAGATGATCCTTCACGGCCTGTTATTACATGACCAACACGATGCTGCCGGCATCGTGCATCACTTTTGATCGAGGTTGGCGTGCCTTATACCTAGTCAGTTGCAACTGTGGAGGCTAGAGTCTATGAGATTAGGCGCCTAGGTGTGCATGCTGTGAAAGCAGAAGGAGTTGAGGAGTTGAACACCATGCGCCCGCAGTCCCAAACGACCCAGCCCACCGCCTGAGATCCATTTTAGGATGGCCTTCCAAGGTCTTAGGGCTGTAGGCTGCGAAAGTGCCGTCCAGGATTTGCCCAACATCGATCTCGTATTCACTTGGGGAGACGCTGAGCTCGAACTGGCTGTTCTTCAAAGGTGCTGGGCTTGTCTGTGTGAGGCAAAGCATCTCGAATGGGGTACCCATGGCACCCAGAAGTGCTGATGAGGTTGAAAGTCATATGCTCCTAGAAAAAACCCTAAACCCCAAACCCTAAAACCCCAAAAACTGTGTTCCGAAAGCAATCGCAAAGGAGCGCCTGCCGCCACAGCTGGCGCAGAGGCCATGACTGGTCGCTTCCAGTAGAGGGACCAAGTATAGTGCTCGAGCGTGCGAGTGTCTTGGTTATCGGTCTGAGGGGTTTTTGAGGACGATGAGTTTGGAATTCTGAGCGCAAAATCGGACAAGATTCGCACAAGATTTCCACACCGACCGCACCATAATGCCATCTGGGCAGAGCACCTTCCACCCCCATCTGGCCGCGCAAGCAGAGCATTGGAATCGTTTTCTGAGTCGTTTCTTGAAATCATGCTTTGAAGACGTGAGACATGTGAGGTGGCGCGGGCATGGCGCGGCCCTCCGCGAGCTCTTAGTGTCTTCAGAGTATTGGCCGCTCGACGTGCTCCCGAAAACGCTGACGTTTGTGGCTCAGGCCTTGGGGTTGGTCGTCTTGGTGGTTTAGGGTTTAGGGTTTAGGGTTTAGGGTTTAGGGTTTGGTTGAGTAGAGGGAGAGGGACGGGAGGTTGAGGCTGTCGTCATCGATTCTTGCATGGAAGGGGTTGAGCTGGCCCCAGGTTGGATTTTAACTTTTCATCCAAACCCTAAGCCCTAAAACCCTAAAACCCAAAACCCAAAACCCAAAACCCTAAACCCTAAACCCTAAACCCTAAACCCTAAACCCTAGACCCAAACTGTAGGCTTATAATGTTTCAGGGGGCTCGGATGTGCTGTGGAATGACCCCGCAGCCCGCACTTCGCCTTTTGCTACGATTTGCGATTAAGAGACCCCCCAAAAGATGAAAGAGAAGAATTCGGGTTTAGGGTTTAGGGTTTAGGGTTTAGGGTTTAGGGTTTAGGGTTTAGGGTTTAGGGTTATAAGGAAGAACATTTTTTTCATTTTCGTGGGGGTTCTTAAGCAAGTTTGGTGAAGCCGAGGCTCACGTGCTGGGCCGATCCTTTGGAAGTGCCGTGGCTGTTTGTTTCAAGGGACTGAAGGAGGGACCCTTATAAAAGACCTTGGGGGTCATTTGGGGGCTATCTGGGAGCTACTTAGGTATATAGGGACTATCAGGAATGAGATGAAGTGTCCCTTCTAAGGGTCCCTCCATTAACCCCTTATTAGTTGGGGCAAACACCACACCTCACGTGCTGCGGCTTCGGAATTCAAAGGCTTAAGCGGAACTTAATAGCGTGAACTCTGAGTTTATAGTGCGAGAGGATCCCTCCATGCTTCAGCTGGCCAGCTGTCAAAATATGATGGCTGCAAGCGTTCAACTTCAGAAGTTTTTGACCATGCTGAACTCGAGTCCTCGCTCAAAGTTCCATGGAAGGGCATCCGGAGAAACGGGAGATTGGTTGGCTCGGGCCGTGTCATGGGCGCATGTTCCACGAATGGAACGCCAGTACGCCTTCAGCTCCCGACCAAACATCTGGCAAGTGCAAGTGCCCGGACCACAGGCCAAGCGCCACTCCCGAAACCTTCTGCGCTCCGGGTCTAAAGGGGTTTAGGGTTCCGCAACCCGCCAAAACCCATAAAGTCCCAACCCTTGAGCTCAAGCCAACTTGTGCCAAAGAAAGGATGGGCTGCTGCGCGGCGTGCGCGCGGCCAAGATTTTGGTTCTTACAGACCAAGGCCGGCCCAGAATGAGGTTTAGGGTTTCGGGTTTAAGGTTTAGGGCCATAGCTCAAGATTTAGTGTTTTGGGGGGGTTTATTACAGTTTAATTGTATAGGGGCCATAAGGGACGATTATTAGTACTTATTCCCAGGAACGCTTGAACAGGATTTAACGCTTTGTGTCGTAGTTGGATAATTTACTGCCTGCCTCAAAGCGGCGGTCCCTTTTCTGGGTCCTCCATATGTATGTATGTGTTTTTTACATATATGTGTACATATTCATACGGCGCCCTTAGAATATTAGGGACCCAAAAAGAGACCCTAATTTAGAGAACTGCTCAGTACCCTTGGGCCCCTTGGCGGCGAGGTACTGAAGCCGCTCATGGCGAGCTGGGGATTCTGTGCATTGGAGGTCCCATGGCGGCTTGGCAGCAGGGTGTGGAAAGCAGGGTTTAGGGTTTAGGCTTTTTTCTGGCATTCCCCACCCAGCCCAGATGGGGGAAGAAAAGGGTTTAGGGTTTCGGGTTTAGGGGAAAAGGAAAACTCAGAGGTTGGAGGGGGCTGGTGTTGTTAATAAGAGGCTCAAGGTCCAATGTGCACGTTTGCCGTGTCGTTGTGTTTTTGTTGAGTGGGTTTTTGTTACTCGCAAACTTGTGGCACGTTCTGGTAACACATGAGAGGTCGGGTCTATTCCCTGAGCCCGACCTGGCTACCAGCTTCCAGGAACCAGAACCCCTGCAATCGTAACCTCTCACTTTGCTTGCAATGCATGATTCTCCGGAAGCTCCCATGCCTGGCACCTGGAACCAAGACCATGAGCCCTCAAGGTTATGGCTGGCTACCACCAGAATGCCCGTGTTGCGGCACCGGCGGAGCCCTGCTCGCACTGTCTTTTACCTCTATCCGGGTATCCAAACATCTTGGGTTTAGGGTTTTGGGTTTTGGGTTTTGGGTTTTGGGTTTAGTCAAGTTTTAGATTGCTTCTTGGTTGATCGAGAGTAGGGGGGCAGTGATCCCCATGATTTCTGACCAAAGCACAATCATCCAAGGATGTGTTTATAGTGCACGAGAACCAGCCTGCGTCCCAGACTTCTTCGGAGTTTTGTGGTCAACTTCAGGATGGTCAGTGTAAGTTTCTCGCTTTCAGGATGTTCAGCTGCAGGGTCTACACATAGTTTCGGATGTTGGGATCTTGCGTTGTCCTAGCTCCAGGGATGTGGCTTTTGACATCTAGGCCTTCTGCGTTCAGGTCGGCTGGCGTAGAGACTTCAGGTATTGAGGCGAGAGTGTCCCAGGAAATGCTGCGATCGTTCGGGGTGTAGGCTTCGTTTCGATGTGTGTGCGTCGCAAAGCATCGCGAGCTAACTTTGATTAGCACTGCTTCTTTCACAGAAGAATCCCTAGCGAAAGCCACAAACTCGTGACACATCTCGATGCAACCGCTAAAACTTTGGGGGTGCAAACGCCTGCCGGCCTACCTTGATTGCAGGGTTGGACCATGTGAGGCAGAAACCTAGCATTATAGCAAAATAAGAAAGTAACATAATCATGCAGCGGTATCTGAATACAAACTATAAAAATGCACAAATTATGAAAAATGTACAACATGTACTACTAATATAGAAAAAGTAAAATCAAAAAGATAACAAGAGGAACAGCTAATCAGAGAGGACCCGAGTTGCCGAGCAGGCGCTTTTTCCGGACGAGTGACCTGGTTCGCCGCGAGCGTGGCGGCTTCCTGCCTGACTGTTGGAGCCAGGGTTTGGGGTTTAGGGTTGAGAGTTCATGGTTCAAAAAGGCTAGGGTTTAGGATGTAGAGTTTAGGGAGCCTCACTGGCCCGTCGGGTTTGTGCTCGTCGTCTGCAGCGCTTTGCGAGTTCCTCGAGATGGGCACCCCTTGCCTAAACCCTAAAGCCAAGCCATGCGCCCATTTGTTGAGCCCAGTTCAACCTACAGCTATTTAGTTGGTTCATTTTTTTTTATATACTCTGATGAACCCACAACACCTTGACTGGCCCAGGAATTGTTTTCAAGGGTCGGGCCGACATGATGGCGAAGTCAGGCGGAAAGTGGGTCGACATGACAGCCGTGGAGGACAACCAGGGTTTAGGGTCTAGGGTTTAGGGCTTAGGGTTTAGTGTGTAGGGTCCAGCATCGGCCATCTTCGGGCTAATCACACAGGTAGGTGAGGATCTCAGTCCATCTTTCGCTCTCTGAAAGTGGTGAGGACACCATCATTGGCACTCCCGGCGTTCAAGCTGGGAAGATCCTTCCGGCCTCTTTGCACAAGGATTCCCTCATCGTGTAGCTTTCGGTTCAGGGCTGGCCCCCAAGCCCTCGTCAACAATGGGGTGTTGGTGTTCGGGTATCCAGGTACCTACTTTTCAGGTTCACTGCCCGCTTCAGGAACCCAAGCCACGTTAGATCGCATCTGATCGTCTCGGCTTCAATAAGAAGCGCCGTAGCCACCAAGGACAGCGCCAGCGAGCAGTTTCACGCTTTCGTGGCCCTGTCCGGGGAGCAGATGCCATGCACCCAGCTCGGAGTCTAGGGCATTCGGGGCTTACCCGGTGGTGCATCCCAGACCTGCACGGGGCGATATACTGACGCCCCTATGTCGTGATAGCGCAACCCCACTTCTCACGACATGTTGAGGTCACACGCTCTAAGGACCTCGCCGTTGAGACGTCTGCTCCCCTGCTCCCTTCACTGAGGAGGCCAGATCGTGTCCTCGACGCTGTGCGGCAAAAGTTGCCGCCGCGGGTGCAGGCCCGGAAAGGAGAAGCTGGATGTGGAAATTTCGATGTGGACGTATGGGGATCTGAGCATGTTCGTCACTCTTGGTGATGCGAAGCGCTCGAAGTTTGCTGTAGCCTCCGTCTCCAAACCAGTAAAGCACCACTCGAAAGCCTTCACCTCAACTACGGTTTCCAGCACGAAAAGCGGACACCCCGGCCCTGGATCATGTAACTCCCGTTTAGGTTTAGGGTTTAGGGTTTAGGGTTTAGGGTTTAGGGTTTAGGGTGTATAGACGGGACCCGACCCTCAATCTGAAAGTGCGATGGGCCGCAGTTGTGGTTGCTGACCGACCTTCCACGGCATCCTGTCACGCGCAGCTTGCCACAGCCGGAAGTGGGTTTGCGGGTTGAGGGTTTAGGGTTAGGGTTTAGGCGGTTTAGGGTTTAGGGTTTAGGGTTCAGGGTTTCGGGTTTAGGGTTTAGGGGGGTTTAGGGGCTCAGCCGGTGCTTTCGGAAGCATCGCCTTCAATGAAATTAAGCCATGGAGACATAGGCTGGCACACGTGGTTTTCCTTGCTGCGGCAGTGCGGCGTACATGGGGGGGCGATCTTGAAGCAGCTGGATTCCTACTTGTGCTACCTACCAAAGTATTACCAGCAGCTGGGCATCCCATGTGTACCCCTGTCATGTCAGGAAAGATAGACCTCGCGCAGTTGTCGCGCATCATCGAGGCAGCATTGGCACGACATGCTGAGTTGCTTTAATTCGGTAAGGTGGACCGCCAGTAGTGCGTCTGCAGTCATCTAGGCAGGCGGCAAACTTACTAAGCCAAAAGTGGAAGCCCCAACTTAACTTTCGGGTTTTCTTACTGTAGGGGAACATTGAAGTTGCATTTTTGGGCTTTTGCAGATGTACGCAGAAGATGCCCTATCATTCGGACGAAGCCACCATCGCATTGGCGGGTCAAAGAACACCAGCCCCGAGGCCCTAAGTCACAGGCTTAACTTGCATCTGGCGCCGTAATACCTGCATCTACTATCTACCATTTGCTTAAGAACCCCCTCCCCCCAAAACCAAAAACCAACAATTACAAAATGCAACGGATTCTTCTTTGTAAGGGCAATATAGGGATTATTTTCTGTGTTTTTTGGGGGTTCTTGTTAAGACCTTCAGCTGGAGGCTTTGAGTGTGGGGCAGATCCTGCTTCACTTCCGACTTCGCATGCCCTAGGAGATCCAATCCTTGGGCTTGCTCCTAGTACTTCAAGGACCGCGAACTGTAGGGTCTTAGGGTGTAGGGTTGCGGCAACAGCCTTCCGACACCACCCTTTGGTGAACGACCTCAATCTTGACCAGGCTCCTCCAGCCTCCTGGCCCCTGGAAAGTGGCGAGCCGACGACTATGCGCCTTGAGCCAGAACTCAGGGCTTGCATGTGGAGTTTGCTGCACCAAAGCCCTAAACCCTAAACCCTAAACCCTAAACCCTAAACCCTAAACCCTAAACCCTAAACCCTGAACCCTAAACCCTAAACCCTAGACCGCCTGCAAATCGAGTCTCAAGACCTGAGAAGCCGAAGTCTCATGTGTGACGGGAGAGCTTCAGGACGACGCCTTGTCTCAGAGTTGACGGTTGAGGGCTTCAAACGCTAAATCTCAGGACTATGGTCACCCGCCTGGCTGAGGTACAAAGAGAGGCTCCAACAGACGCTGCAGAGTCAGGCCGCGGTTTGGGGTTGCTTTCCGGAGCTCAGAGTTGTTTCGAGGCTGGATTCAGAGCCTGGACCTTGGGTTTAGCCGCTTCTGGAGGGTCCGAACATGATGCTCCTACCCTGGGCACCACCCGAAGCTCTCTCGCTGATCTCGAGTTCGTGGGCCAGGTGCTGTGGACCATGGTCGCCATGGGCACGTCCTGCGTCTGCGGCTGCTCCACCGGCCGCCCGACAAGCATACATGGGTGCTAGGTCTTGAGGTGTCCCGAGCCCCATAGATGTGCCATAATCCGTGCTTTTTTTATATTGCGAACAAGAACGTCATTCTACGCATCTCTATCCCCCGGCCGACACTCCAAGCCTTTGAGCCGACTGTGGGCCACGACTTGGTTGAAGGCTTTGAGGGTTTCAAAGCTTCGACATGTAAGGGGTCCCAAGATGCCTTCGCTTATGGGAATCTATCGGAAGTGCTTTCTAATGCCGCCCAGCCAAGCCAAACTCTTGCAAACGCGTTGGCCATCAACGGCGGCATCCCCAAGCCCCCAAGCGTTTCCGTCGCAGGGGATTTGCCTCGGCAGTTGGGCCTGACTGCCGCCTGGTCCGAGCCTCAGCTACGGCCCGGACGTATGTCGGGCTGATGTTTCTGCAGGACTCTCAGGTTCGGGCAGGGTTCGGGCAGAGAGTTGCAATCAGCTAGGGCCCTGGAACCGCACCACATCAACTTCGCACTTACTTCTTCCCGAGAGCGCTGGGATTTGTGAGGTTCGACAGAATGCATTGAGACATCCGTGTTTAGGCTGCGCGACTTTTTTTACATGAACTTTGCTGTGCTGGCACAGTAATTGCTCCGTCATCGAGCCGGATCTTGGAACCGTCTCGGCGCCGATCGAAATCCAAGCCAGTGTGGACACTCTTGTGCGAGAGACTGCTTGATGTGGCTTTGGACTCGGTTAGTCCGTGGGTTGTGGGGTCAGAAGACGCAGGAAGAAGAAGAAGAGTTTGGGGAACTGCGCATGGCTGTGCACGGTGCGCTGTGAGCTTGTATCCCCCTTAGCCTTAGTAAACACTCAGCGCGTGGAAAAAAGGTGAAGGGCTGCACGACCACTACCCATAACCCCTAAACCTTGGGATCCCGTTTAAGGACTGTTTTAGGGGGAACATCCCAAGCTAAACCCTAAACTAAGTGTGTCTAAGGCTCGCCGCCTTGCGCTGTTTGGCCGGCTTGCCAGGGACTGCGCGACCCGGCGAAGGGCTTCAAGAAAACCCTGGCTTGGGCGTGGAGTTGAAGGGGGTTGGGGATGGCTTAAGGAAGAACGTGATGGGACAGGACTCAGGCTGTAGCTGTCTCAGGTTACTGAGGTTTGTCGCTTTAAATGTTTCGCTGTGGAGACGGGCACCCAATCTGCTTGCCGCATCATGTGCCACGACATTGCATTCACAGCATTTGTGGGAGGGAAGCCCTAAACCCTAAACCCTAAACCCGCATTGCCGTGGCTAGTCGGGTGGCAAAAAAACCTAAACCGGCGATGTTTCAAGGCTTCGCGATGTTTAGAGTCGAGGCCCGTCCCGCGCTTGGCGGCCACAGTGTTGTGGCTCGCCACCTTGCCGCGCTGGGAGAAGGCTCCGACTTGCTGTTGGTTTAGGGTTTAGTGTTTAGGGGTTAGCAGGGAATGGGGGGATGAGGTGCCCTATATGATCCCTTAAAGGGTATCTATAGGGCCCGAAATCCCTCATTCCCTGCTAACCAACAGTAAGCCGAGGGGTGTCAGGGGCAACTTTCTTCGAAGCTCAGGGTGGAAAGTCCTGGAGAGAACATGTGGAGAGAACATGAGAGAGATTAGTTTGACACCTGTTTGGGGTCACGATTTTTGAGAGGTTGAAACAAGACGATTTCGAAAGTTTGACGACGCCAGTGTGACGAGTGGTTGAGCCTTTTAAGGCGGAATCGCGCGCACGTGTTTCGCCTGCGGCTACTCCTTTGCGGCTTCTCCTTTGCCCACCGCTTTCCATTCTCACCTTCTTTCGCGCCCCCTTTCACGTCCCCCCGCCTCCGGCCTGGATGCCAGAAACCCAACACGCAGATTCCCTCAAAAACGCCCTAATTATGAACTGCCTTCACCCTCGCCGTCGCCCATCCCCTCGCTCAATTGCCCTCACCCTTATCCTCATGTTCACTTTTGCCCTGGCATTCGGCCTCACACTTACCTGCCCAGTTTCCCTTTCTTGCCTTTACCCTCAGCTAAAAGCGACGGCTTGCTGTTTCGATAGTGTCCATGCTGATCACGTGCTTGTGGCATTGGCTCTTGTTGGATCTTTAACGCCACTTTGTGTGACTCACTCTTTGCAGTAGCCTCGGGGGGCACTTTAACCTTGAGTCTTGAGCCAGGTTCTAGATACTAGCTGGGATTCAGTCCCTAAACCCTAAACCCTAAACCCTAAACCCTAAACCCTAAACCCTAAACCCTAAACCCCAGTGGTTGCGAGGAGTAGCCGCGTAGCCAAGTCAGCAGGCCATGCTCCTCCGCTGGCTCTGCTCAGCCTCCGCCCTGACCTTTAGTTTCCTGGCGCTGACGCATGCTGCCTCTAGGCTGCAAGGAAGTGTTTGCTTCATCTGTACACGAAATTGTCAGTAGAACATATGTGAATGCGTTCAGAATTGTATCTGTCGCGGTTAGGGTTGAAGAGATGTTGCAGTACAGGCGGCCGGGGAATTCTAGCGGTCGATTCTGGTCAGGCCGGAGAATCATTGGAACTTAACCCACGCTGCACGGCCATCGCCATAGTGAAATCCCCACCCCCTTGACGGTTTGAGGGGGTGCCAAGCTAAGGCAGGCGGGCAGGCTCTCTTAGCTTGTGTGTGTGTGTGTGTTCGCGTGTGTGACTCGTTCTTTGTCTCGGCTGGCTGCGCTCCGCCCTGACGTCCTATCGCATTTGCAAATCGAAGGTTGGTGCAGTTGGGTTCAGGCCACTGTTCAGTTGCTCCAATCCCCGGCCTGTTGGACTCCTTCGGGTTACTTACTAACGGGGGTGGTCAGTGGCTGTCTGTACTCAGCGCTTGACATTTGACTGCAATACCTGGCCCTGAAAGAAGTGTGGCATAGGGAGGTAGATGGCCTCTCGTGTGCTGTCTGCGGGCGAATCGCTAGGTCGGGAACATTGCCGGTACGGTATCTAGGTCCTCCCCCAAGGGAGTTTGAGTGGGTGCTTGGTATCTAGCTTTGTTGATCGTGGACTGCGTGGTGTGGGATGACCTAGATACTTTGCATACGCGTAGTGCAGTGCTAGAGGGGTGCCAAAAAATGGCAGCACCAGCAATCAACACCAGCAAGAGCCACTGTTTGTTGGAGACCACCGCAGGACGAGACCTTGACAGAAATCCATGCGGGGGGGGTTGAGGACAGAGAGGAAAACTTTGGGGCTTGTAGATTGGGAGTCGAGTCTTTAAGTTCTAGAGCCTCTGAAGTCCATAAGGACGATGCGCGACAGAGGGGCCTGTCCGTGGGCCTGTGGATATTCCGCCCCTTGGGGTGTGCAATTGGTATTCGAGCTTGGCCAGTGAGAGTCCAAGAGACTGTATTTTGGAAGGTGGGGGCCTGGAACCTCTACATGCTCGTGCGTTGTTGAGCCCGAACCTCCAAGGGTTCAAGGAATTCTAAGCTCCCCTTAGAAAACCGTACGCTCACGGAGGAATCTCCGCAGTCACCCCTCACCCCCCCCCACCCCCCCTAAGCGCCTAAACCCTAAACCCCCCTAAACCCTAAACCCCAAACCCGGTCTTGGGCGACTCTCACACAAGCCTCCCACCCAGGGGTTGTTGATGAGCTGCCCATGTGGAAATTTGGCTTCTTCGTATGGACGGCGCTGCTTCGACACGCCTCTGCGGCTTCAGAGTGGGCGAATGTTTTTTTGGGGGGATGTGGGTTTGTGTTTCGGGTTCAGGGTTCAGGGTTCAGGGTTCAGGGTTTTGGGTTTAAGGTTTAGAAAAAAGGGTTTAGGGTTTGGGGCAAGAAGGGGTTTAGGACATCCCCTTTTCTGCCCAGATGGAAAAATGGGTTTAGGGGTACATTCCGCTCCTTTGTGTGCCCTGTTCCACTAGGGTTTAGGGTTTAGGGTTCAGGGTTTAGGGGCGCCCGGAGATGCAATTGGCATGGGGCTTCACAAGCCGGTGGTGGAGCCTTGGAACCTCAACCAGGATGGGCTATGGTACCCTAGAACCCCTTAAAAAAAGGCCCCTTTGTTAGGGTGGATTATGGGAATGATCAGGCCTCATAGCCCATCCTGGTATCTGTCTCGCATAAGTCGCCACACAAAGTTGCGATTCCGTCGAAAGCTTGACAAGACTTGGCCCCAAACCTCCAAGCCTCCAAGGGACGAGGTTGTTGTATCTCCCCAGCACAATGAAGTCATCTAGGCAGGTGGCAAGAAGAACACCAAAAACGACAGACAAGGGTGGGCAAAAAATCTTGGAACCCGTAGCCTGCAGCCCTAAGCCCTCAAACCTAAACCCTAAACCCTTAACCCTAATTAACCCCTAACCCTAAACCCTAAACCCCTAAACCCTAAACCCTAAACCCGAAACCCTAAACCCCAAACCCCTAAACCCTAAAACCCTAAGCCCTACAACCTGAAGCATCTTCGAGGCCCCAGCACCTCTCGGCTGGGCTGCCGCTGCGGCGTTGGGGGCTGCCGCGGCGCCACTTTCCCAAATCCGAATGAAGGTTTAGGGTTTAGGGTTTAGGGTTTAGGGTTTAGGGTTTAGGGTTTAGGGGTTAGGGGTTAGGGTTTAGGGGTTAGGGGTTAGGGGTTAGGGGGGGAGGGTTAGGGTTTAGGGGGTTTAGGGGGTTTAGGGGGTTTAGGGGGTTTAGGGGGTTCAGGGGGTTTAGGGGGTTTAGGGGGTTTAGGGGGTTTCGGATTTGGAGGGTTGGGGGTAAAACTCAAGTCAAAGCCGCCAACCCCCGCCCCCCCCCCTCCCCGGGCCCCTCTACAGTCCTCGGTTGTAGCTCTATACTTGGAGGTTCATGGTACTTAATCACCAATCACAGCTGTACTTTTCACTGCAACTTTAACCATCTGAGGGCACTTAAGGGGCTTATCAGTGGGTTAGCACAGTTAAAACTGGTTAATAAGTACCGTGAACCTCCAAGTAGCAGCCCTCCTTTCAACCCCCTAAACCCTAAGCCCTAAGCCCTAAACCCTAAACCCTAAACCCTAAACCCTAAACCCTAAACCCTAAACCCTAAACCCTAAACCCTAATCCTAAACCCTAAACCCTAAACCCGAAACCCTCAGCCCTAAACCCCAAGCTGAGGAGCGGGGCCTTCTTTGCCGGCCACCGCGGTCGGCTCGGTGCTTTTCCGCTGCTCTTTTGGGGCCTAGGCGGGGTAAAGCTTGGGGGGGGGACCTTTTTTGGATCTTGATGGCCTGACCTGAGGGTTTAGGGTTTAGGGCTTAGGGCTTCGGGCTGAGGAGTCGAGAACTGTTGAGGCTCCAGGAGGAGGGTTTGAAATTCCACGCAAAGTTCCGAGTGGTTCCGAAGCGCATGCAAGACCTTTCGGTGTCATGCGCAACACAGAAGCATCAGGTTACGCCATGTTTGGTTTGAGACCATCGTAGATCGTGTTGGCAGCAGTAGTCTTTTGAGCACGTGTGGCCCCTTGCATGTGATTGTTATCCTGGTCTGCTGGGGAGGGATTGGCCATCAGCTCGAAATTGACATCCGCGGCTGGGTACACCTGACCACGTGGCGTGCCGACCTCAGCACAGACTCTGGCCAAGGACGTGTGCCCTAAACCCTAAACCCCAAACCCCAAACCCTAAACCCTAAACCCTAAACCCTAAACCCTAAACCCTAAACCCTAAACCCCAAACCCCAAACCCTAAACCCTAAACCCTAAACCCTAAACCCTAAACCCTAAACCCAAAACCCAAAACCGTTCGAAGGTGATCATGCCTGGAGGCTCTTGGGCCTTTGCCAGGACTTAGGGTTTAGGGTTTAGGGGGTTTAGGGTTTAGGGTTTAGAGTTCCCTAAGCCCTAAACCCTAAACCCTAAACCCTAAACCCTAAACCCGGTTGCAAAAAGGGTTTAGAGTTTAGGGTTTAGGGACTTGGGGCACTGCATCTTCGAGTCCATTCCTACACTTCACACCCCTGCGCCGCTCAAAGCGAGCCCCCCAACTCCCTGGACGTTTCCATGTTGGGATGTCCCCCCAGAAAAAAACAGCCCTTGATAGGGATTATAATAGGGGGTACTAGAATTCCTATTAAGGACTTGATAGGGATTATAATAGGGGGTACTAGAATTCCTATTAAGGACTGCTAGAAAAAATGGGGAACATCCCAGTTTCCATGGACGTGGAGGAGCAGCTGCTGCGCTTCTGGCCGACGCCAGCGACGCCCGTGGCCGACGCGGAGCCAGCTACTGAGGAGAAGCGCCCTGGCTCAGGATCCCTAGAGGGTTTAGGGTTTAGGGTTTAGGGTTTGGGGTTTGGGGTTTAGGGTTTAGGGTTTAGGGTTTAGTTTAGGGGCCCCAACACCCACTCAAATCCTTACATCCTACAGTTCAAAATAGTACCAACCCGGACCTGTGAGAGACCATGCTTGGTGAAGAGGCCTGCGGAGTCCGAGACTCCACGCTGCACGGGCTGCGGCGAGGAGGCAAAGGTTGAAGGCTGATAGGGCTGAGGATTGTATTCAGGCGCGAGAAGCCTTGGGGCACTACACACTACGGTTTTTGGGGTTCTCTTGCCGTTTACGATGTCAATGCAGGTCTTCCTCGTGTTTGAAAAGTCGATCAGGACATGCGAAAAGATGGTTTGGGGGGGGGGGGGCTAGGACTGCCGGAACCCTTTTATCGTGCTGGACCTGTTCTGACATGTCTTGCGCAGCACCGGCAAGAATAGTGGTAATCTTGCAGTTCTGACCCTGCCCCCAGGCCGGAGGGTGGTCGCTGACTCTTCCGCGCCGGAAGGCCGAGCCCAAGAGCACACGAACTTTCTCTTTGAGTGGGGAACCAGACCGCTTTAGGGTTTAGGGCTTAGGGTTTAGGGCAAGGAGTCCAGTTGCAAAGGGTTTAGGGCTTAGGGCCGAAAGCCGGTCCCCTCGAGTTTCTTGAGCAAGGCGTGGAAACGCAGTCACCAGCACTGAGTATCCGTGTGCTCACACCTTCAGGCGATTGCACAAGTCCTGATGCAAAAAAGGGCCTAAAGCCCGGGGTTTTTGAAAAAACGGCAGCATGTGGGTTTGTCCTGCTCTTGTAATCAGCCTCGCATCTGAGCCATGGCTACATGCCACAACTTATGCACACAAAGTCTGCCTGGTGCGTGGCGAATGTTGCAGTCAGCACGAGAATCCTGAACCTAAATCCTGAGTAAACCCTCCAACCCTAAACCCTAAACCCTAAACCCTAAACCCTAAACCCTAAACCCTAACCCTAACCCTAAACCCTAAACCCTAAACCCTAAACCCTAAACCCTAAACCCTAAACCCTAAACCCTAAACCCCAAACCCCAAACCCCAAACCCTAAACCCTAAACCCTAAACCCTAAACCCTAAACCCTCCCCTCTGCAGATTCTCTGCGAGCGCTGCACGCAAACCTTCGCCGAGACTGCAGAAGCCAAAGTGGCTGCGTTTGTGGAAGGCAAAGGAGAGCGGGAATGGTTGAGGGTTTAGGGTTCAGGGTTCAGGGTTTAGGGTTTAGGGTTTAGGGATAGTCTTCGAAAGGAAGCACACAAGGCAACTGTCACACTTCTACAACGGATGTTGAGATCGGGAGATGGTTCTATTTTTCTTCAGCGATGAAAGACACGAGCCATTTTCTTCGTGAAGCTGGTTCATTCACAGCAATGTCGAGCCCTCCTGTTCACTGTAGGCCCCTCCGCACCTAAAAGTGCTCCCACAAAATGAGAGAGGGCGCCCAAAAGTATTTTGGCCCCCCGGACCCCCCCGTTCCCCCCCTTCCCACTACCCTAAATCATAAACCCTGAACTAGTTTTGCTGGTTCTGGTTGCTGGTTCTGCTTGACGGGTGAAAAATGACCGCTAGTTTGCTTGGTTGGTGGCAAAAAAACCCTCAATGCCACGCCCCGCCCCGAAAAACCTGCCCACATGTTGGCACCGGAATGTTTTTGAATTTTGGGTACGTTTGGATGTTTTTGAATATTTCGGAAGTATCCCCAAACTCCATGAAGAAACTACCTTACTAACAGACGCCCTGGAGCAAATGAATGATACGAGCATCTTCTAGGTCAAACCCCGCAAGATCTTCCTTGCGAAGGTGCATCGCCAGGCCTGGCTGAGCCCCTGGCGAAGCGTCCACGCCTAGATCCTGGCGCTGGAGGGGAGGCGGCTCTAAGTGGGGCTGAGCTGGTTAAGGGTTTAGGGTTTAGGGTTTAGGGTTTAGGGTTTGTTTGGGGTGGAGGGGGGAAAGGGGCCTGGGGCTCTGAGCCCCGGAAGATGCGATGATGCGAATCCCTGCATTGGTGCCTTGGGGAGGGGACGTTCGGTGCATGGCACCAACTTAGTAGTAGAGTAACCTTTAACCTTTTTGGGTTACTATATTCCCCTTATAATCCCAAAGGTTAACCTTTAAAACCCCTAGGTACTGGACAACTAAGCCAAGCAAGGGAAAGCACAGTACCAAACAATCTGTTCGGGCTCGAGGGCTTGACTGGTTTGGCTCCAAATGACCGAATTCAGAGCCTAAACCCTAAACCCTAAACCCTAAACCCTAAACCCTGAACCCTAAACCCTGAACCCTAAACCCTAAACCCTAAACCCTATGCGGAGCTGCAACTGGTATTGTAGAAAGAAGTTAGTGTTGGGTGTTGAAAGGGTCAATGTACCCGGGAATCTCTTATGGCTCAAGACTGGGCCATGTGCCTGGTAGTAAAAGGTGAGTGCCCTGTGGTTTGGGTTTGTTGTGTGGTTGATCCAGGGAAATCAAGGGATTCTGTTGGGGTTGACTTTTCGGTTTCTCGTCCCCCTTCGGGTTCCCCCCGTAGGTTATGAGCCCAAATTAGGCTTCCTGCGGTATAGGTAAGATTCTACGCTTGTTTGGCGCAATGGACATGTTGCGGCGTCGGTCGGAACCTGGACTGTCATCCGCGGCCAATGAAGCCGAAGAAAATCGTGGTGATGGGGGTGAAGAACGGCAACAAATGGTACAAGCGCTGACAGATGGTAGGGAGGTTGCAATGATACAACCAACGTCTCAGGTGGAAAACGAAGTGGTTCCGGTTCCAGCAGCGAATCCTTTCTGGAGCGAGCGGGCTCATGAAGAAATGAGACTAAGGCAGTCAAGGCCAGCAAGTCTCCCTGCGAGCGGAGGGGATAGGAGTGGTGAAGAAACAAGAAGGCCACCGTCGTTGCCAGAACTTCGGGATCGGGAACCGGTTCCAGCTGAGAGGCCATCTTCAGGGTTGATGGGCCAGATGGAAAGAGGGAATATTGGTGAGACACAAGGCGAGGAAGAGCTCATTCCTGATCTGAGCGGTGAAGAACAAGGTGAAGATATGGCGGTGGTAAAGCGTGCGCTGAAAGAGTTGCTTGTGCAAACAAAGGAGCTGGGGAATAGACTGCATCGGGTGGAGGAGAAAAGCTATACCTCTGCTGCATCTGGGTCAGCTTCGAGAGCACGGAGCACTGGAGTGGTGGACGCAAATGCTGCATATCCGTTGGGAATGACTCCAGAGAAGCAGTACCTGCCAGGACAAGTTTTCTACACTGATGGTATGGGTGGCTTCTGGACTGTGTTGCCTGATGGGACATGGCTGCCGATTGAGGGCTACGACCTTCCAAAGGGTTGTGACCTTCAACCCTTGCCTGAGCCCAGGAAAGGGGAGGTTCACGTGGAGGATGAGAAGGAAGTGCCAATGATGCACGTAACTGAAGGGAAGAAACCCTCCAGATTGCCTCCATTGAATTACCCCATGGGAGGTTCTGCAAGTGGTGGATATGCAAGTGGACCACCTGGTTTAACACATGTTCCGATTACTTCCTTGCCGTCAGGCGTTGATGGTTCTGCCGCACTGTTGGGAAATCAGCCCGGTTTTGTCTCAGCTCGGGAAACTTCAATGCAAGAGAACTCAACAGGATCGGGTGGATATACAATGGTGGATGATGTTCCATATCGGTGGAAAATGATTGCTGGGAAGTTGGAATTAGAGAAGGTTCCGCTTACAGCGTTTACGCCCGGAATGGGACATGGACTGCCGCAAGGGCCTGGTGGAAAGGTCAGCTTACCTCCTGGAGCTGTGGTGCCACGTGGGATGCCAAACATTGGTGATAGTTCTGGAACTGAACGTCCGGAGGCTCTTGGGAAGCATGTGATGAGCCTTCCTACTTTGGCAGACTACACACCAAGCAATCCGACGGCACTAGGTGATTGGATCGCAATGATCGAACCAATGTTGTCTTCGCTGACAGATACAGGAAGAGTGTGGTGGCAATCCGTCTATACAAAGGCGTATGAGGCGTACGCCAAATGGTTGAGTGTCTCTCCGCTGGAAAGGTTGGGCATCAAGGCTGAGCTGGAAGGGCTCAAGGGGGTTCGAACTGTGCATGTTTTGTTGGAGCAGAGAGCGGTGTCTTTGCTGCTACAAGCGATTCCGGAGAGATTGAAGACCGAGATCGTTTCCACTCGAATGTTGGGGTCGGTGATGATATTTTACAAGTTGCTGACAGTTTACCAACCAGGTGGAGCAAACGAGCGCAGCACGATGTTAAACTTCTTGGTGCAACCATCCTCAGCAACCTCGATCTCGGAGGCTATTAAGGGAGTGCGACAATGGGCGCAATGGCGTTCCCGGTTAAGGGAGTTGCGAGCATCTGAGCCGGATGCTACCTTGCTTATCAAGGGATTGGATGCTTTATCATCCGCGTTGCTGGCAAAACACCCTACGGTGCATTTCAGAGTGGCATCCTTCCGGGAGAAATTGGGGGTGGACTACTCGCCGACCTCTGAAACTGCGACACAACTAGCTGAAATGTTACAAGCAGAATTCGAACTGCTATTGCATAGCGCTGGTGAACAAGAGGTGAAGCAGGACTCGGACGCCAAGAAAAGGGCCAGGTTAAACAAGGCCCAAAAGGGAACTGGTGACGAGACGGAGGAGGGTGACAAAGGCAAAGGAAAAGGAAAAAGGTACAGCGGAGATGGTGAACGTCCTTTCTGTTGGATATATGGGAAGACAGAAGCAGGCTGCAAGTTCGGATCACGGTGCAAATTTCGCCATGACAAGGACTCCCTGGAGCGTGGAAGATGTTTTGAATGTGGGGCCATTGGCCATTTACAGCCGCAGTGTCCATACAAAGATGGTGTAAGTTCCAATGCGGACTTAAATCCTGAAAGGAATAGATCTAAAGGGAATTCTCCCAAAGGGGGAAAGGGCGGCAAAGGTGCGAAATGGGGAAATGCCAAAAAGGCAGAAGTGGCTGAAGTGGGAGATGAGATGGCTAATGCGGGATTGGATAAAGGTTCTGCAAGTCCCTCATCACCATCCACAACCAATCAGGTCCTTGCTGAAGCGTTGGAAGTGCTGAAATCTATGAAGCTGTCATCAGCGCAGTCAGCATCAAGCGGAGAGCCCAGCGTTCGAATGTTATGTGACTCTGGATTGTTTCAGCAGGACGGGAGAGTGGCGTTGGTGGATACAGCTGCTACGCATCTTGTGCGGACGCTTTTTCCATGGGAATGTTTACCCGACACTACTGTTATGGTGCAAAGCGCGCTTGGTGGTGTGACAATGAGGATTACAGAGAAAGGGACGTTGATTAGGGAAGACAATGGGCCCCTGATTATCCCTCTCTGGTTGATCTTGGAGTTTGGGGCGAACCTCACCGTGATCAATGGGATGTGTCACGTGAGTGCAAAATCTTCGCTGGACCAACTCTTATGGTTTGAACATGGCTGTTTGGTTATGGATTACAAAACAGCTGAGAAAATGGTTTTGCATGCTGAAAGGCAGCGTGCGTCGTTGTCCCATTCTCAATGGAGGAATGGAAGGGCGGACTGTGGAGTCGGTTCGTCTGATGCCACGTTGTTGCCGAAGCAGGGAGAAGGCCGAGGAGTATGCGTTCTACATGTGGCCAGGGTTTCTGACACCAATGAGTGTTCGGGAATGGGCATGTTGGACTCGGGAGCATCACATCCTCTCAGATCACTTCGTCCTGGTGAACAGCTTCCGCAGCAAAAGGTGTTGGTGTCTTTAGCTGTTGGATCTCGGGAGATGTGTATTACCCCAGGTGGGACCCTGGTAACTCCTGAAATGGTAGATCCACTAGTGCCAATTGGCAAAGCGAGCGCCTTGGTTGGTCTCAGAGTTCAGTGGCGTGGTGGCAAGTGCACAGCCTCACATCCTGTTCTGGGGGAACTTCGCGTTCGTGATCTGAATGGGTGCCCTTGTTTGGAAAAGGAGGTGGCGCTTCAGATCATTGATGAAATGGATTGGTGTTCACCAAAGCAAGCATTGAAGGTGGCACGTATGGTTCAAGGGTGTCCGAATACGGACAACGAGGTGGCTGTAAAAGCGTCGTTGCAAAGCGCAGCGCGGACAGCGTCAGCGAATGAGGAGGAGTTCGTCCAGGCATGCTGGCGGTTTCTTCGGTGGTATTATGGGGATATACCAGAAAATATGCTGATGGAGCTGTTGCCACGTGGAGATATTGCGGCGTTGCCTTTCAACCGTCATAAAAGGAGACGGCTGGCACGAGCAAAAAGGGTGGTGGTACACCTATTTTCGGGAAAACAAAAATGGCATTTTCCCAGTCGGGATGTGGAGGTACTGGAGCTGGATTTGAAGAAAGGCGGTGACCTACATAATTCGAGCGTCTGGAAGTATCTTCTGCATCTGGCGGCTGAAGGAAAGGTGGTTGCTGTGGTTGGAGGACCTCCATGCAGGACAGTGTCAAGGTTGAGAGGTGAAGACGGTGGTCCACCTGTATTACGCCGACGCTGTGGGCCTGAACGGTTGGGGTTAAAGAGTCTTCCTTGGCCACATCAAGAATTAGCTCAAAAGGATGGTGTTTTACTTCTGAAGATGCTTTTCCTATATGACGTGGCGGTGCATTCAAGGTGTGGAACTGCTGAAGTCATCAATGGGAGTTCTGTCTTCTTTGGTATGGAAAGCCCTGGGGACCCTGAACTCATAGGGAAGGATTTTTCTCAGAACGGCAAAACGGTCTTGAGTGCTGAGGATCTGGTGGATGGTTCTCAGGAAGGGCTCTCAAGTCCTACCTTCTGGAGTTGGCCAGAGGTGAAAAGCTTTTGTGAGCGTTATGGAATGTACGCTGCACATTTTGATCAGGGAGCATTGGGACATGCTCTGGTGAAACCTACGACTTTC